CTGGGGGGGCAGTGCGGAGCACCTCGCTTCTGCACTCTGCAGTGAGCTGCCAGCACATTTTTTCCAAGGGTAGTTTTTGGCCTTTGAATATCTTCTGTCTCATCTCCTCTTGTTGTGTTGTGTTTTGTGTTTTAATGACCATAACTGAAATAACGATGATGTTGGCTGGCGAGCAACATCGCAGATTTACTGCTTAGACACTTCAGATGGCCGTGGGACCGGCTCTGATTTCTGGGAACGCTTCCTTCCTCCTTTCTCAAGTTGCTCTCCTGATGGGCAGCTTTGTCCACCTGGAAAGGCCCAAAATCCTTAGGAATCTGAAAAAACACATGGGATTTCTTTTTATGCTCTCCCTGCAACTTCTTTGTGCATGGTTCCTCATTGCAGAGGCTGTCGAGCACCCTGGGATGCAGCGGGGTATGGCAGACACAGCTTCTGCTGGGTGCTCATCTCCTGCTTGCCTTGCACCAATGTGTACTCATCTCCTCATGTCCTCCGCTTCCCTGCCTTTGCCAGAGCAGCCTTCCCATGCACAGGTGCAGGAACAAGCTTCTCCTCCCACTGGAGTTGCTCCCTCATAGCTGTAGGTCTTCTTAATTCATTAAGAGCTGATTGATGTTATTATCAGCTCCAGCAGATGGAAAGGGAGGAGCTTGAGGTCTTCTTCCTCAATAGGCTGATGGAAAAACAGTTTGGAAGTCACTGCCTTGTTGTACTGGCTCCAGCGGTGGAACAAGTTAGCAAACAGGCTCCATAGGACTGGATCTTGTTACTGTTTTCCTTATGTACTAATGCAGTAAGTATATGGCATTTTAGCAGTACTTCTATTTCTAAAGTTCTACTCCCTTTTTCCATTGTATTTCCCTGTCCCAGCTCCCATCCCCAGTCAGGATGTTCTGGTCAGTTGAAGGCAGAGGCAGCGCTGCATTCTTACTCCTAGAGCAAAACTTCCCTTAAGAGGGTGGTGAAACAGAAAGATTGAATTGCTTGCATGAAAATGTCAGATTACACCAGTAACTTCAGTGATAACAGTGCCGGATGTTCTGGGCAAACAACAGCTGGGCAAACAAGTCGCGTTCTGTCTGTCTTGCAATAAAATTGTCTTGGTCATTTCAGGCGTGCACTTTGTTTTTTCCCCAATGCTTCACTAGCTGGCAAACAGGAAAGGACTGCCACTGCCCTGAGAACAGCGAGAGAGGATCCAGAGGGGCTTTCTGCCTCAGTAGTGCTGTGACTCGGATCTGTGGCATCGTTCAGTGAGTCTGGATTCACCTCACAGGGAGCTTGGCGCTAACATTTTACCTGGGTTAGGTGGCCGCCAGCGTTTGATCCCAGATACCATTCCAAGTTTGTGTAATGTCTCTAAAATGCAACGTTTCAACTGCCTTCTTACTGTTCTGTTTTACGCAAGAAAATCTCCTTATCTCTTGGTGATTTCCAGTGGATAAGAAATCAGCTCAGGACTTTTGCCGTATCTTGCGTTTAGGCGCAGCACAGAGCGGAATCAAGATGACTCGGTTGGTAGCGAGCCTTTTACTGCAGTCATCTTTTGAGGTCTGTGTTGATAGCTACCCCAAATTGTTTGCGTCTCACAGTTAGACAAGAATTGTGGCACTTAGGAGATGCGCTTGTTAGGGGATGCTTTTCTTTCCCTTCCTTTGGTAAGTGGAGAGATTTTCTGTTTGCTGTGCGGAGGGGAAGATGATTGCCAAAGCAATGTGGTAACTGTTGGAGACTGGGATTTCTGCTTGAGTGTATTTGCTCCAGGAGCTTGGGTGGCATCGTGTGCTCTCGATGTCCCTACCTGCTGGCTGCTAGCGAGCACACTGTTGCACCAGTTGGGGCTGATTTACTGCAGCCCCAGCACTTGTTCACTTGTGGAAGTGCACGCATGTCGTGTAGATTTAGGCGGTAGCTATGGCAGTCGGGAGGAATGCATGAGAAGAGCTTGGAGATGTCAGAGCACCCGCTCGCGAGGAGAGGACCACATTAGTAGAGCTGCTGGCTAGCGGTAAATAGTCCTGGCACCCTTGTTTCGGGACTTGGCAGCAGCAGGAGTTGAACCGAGTCCAGCTTTACTCTCTACTGCCTGTTCAGTAAGTTGAGGACAAGGCAGATGATTAAGGAAATGTGGGGAAACTGCTACAGAAGCTTTTGGAAAGATAAGAGACTTCGGTCTCCATGTCTGACAGTCTGGCACTTTTCACTAGCATTGAATTCACATGCAAATCAAACGCAACATCTACTCCCACAGGAAGCTTTATTAATGTACAGGCCTGCTCGTGAATCTGTGTGCTGATGAGAGTTATGGGACCGACTTTATTATCAAATTGATTTCCCTCTGCATCATCACTGGTGTGCCGTGTGGCCAAGCAGTTTTTTGAATGGAGCTAGCTGTCCTTCACACCTCCCATTGTGTGCAAGGGGTGTGGATGGGGCTTTGAAGGGATGGGGTAGGTGTACTTGTTGCAAGATGAGAAGAAGTGAGCAGTGTAATCCAGAAAGGATGAGTGAGTTGGGATCCCAATGTAGAACAGTAGTTTGACGCAGATGTTTGGTGAGAATGAGATCTGAGCTGCAAACAACCTTCCACATCTTAAACCTAAGCTCATCACAAGCTTAGCTTTTATTACTGCCGCTTATTTATGAACAGCATTTATGAGCAGCATCTTGAGAGAAAGGCTGAGGGAAATGCTGTTTCAAGCCACAATCTGCCAAGCTGTGCACTCACCCACACCTCTGTCATCCTCCCTTTGCTGCTCCTGTCCATCCACACCGCTCCTCACAGCTGCCTCATCTGTCCCTGCGTGGTGCGTGGCTGTACGGGCACGACAGGAGTGGGGCAGAGCATTGAGTGCTCCCCCAGTTCCCCACCAGCGGGCAGAGATCCATGCTGGCCTGGCCAGCTCCAGCAGAAAGTAGGCATTTCTTGCACGGCTACTCGTTTCTGGGAATCTTCAAACATTTCTGGCAGCCAATTTTAGTTGTGCAACCTCTCAGCTGCCAGAACGGATAGAATATGATCATATCACATGAAATGCATGCAGGGTCTGCTATAGCAACTGTATTTCAAAGAGACAACACATATGGTGGCTGGTTCTTTTTGGAATAATATCTATAAGTTGATGATGTTTTATTCAAAAAGGCTGTAGCTTGAAAGGTTACGGATGTTCTGATTGTTTGGTGTATGATTAAAGAAAGGCTTCCGTGGTTTTTTTGGCCTGTTGAATCCAATTACTGGGAAGTAAAATGATCATTTGATTGCACATTTACCTGGAATTATTCTTCTGCAGAGCCAGTCTTAATAATATATAATAACATGTTGCGTTTGTGCTGTATAGAGCTTCTTGTCTGAGCAACTCAGAGTGCTTTACAAGTATTCATTAATTAAATAAGCCGTACAACACCCCTGTTAAGTAGGTGAGTATTTGTTGCCCATCCCTTTACATTTTGTAGCATTTTTTTCCTGCCCACCCTTGAAGCTGCCTTAACAGCCAAATAAGCTAATTCAATGGAAATAGCGTTTTTTAACGGCGCTTAATGCTTTCAGCATAAAGGCTTCCTTGTGCCTTTTATTGCACCATGTTTGAGGTGCTGCGGGTGCACAAAGCATCAGCTGCCCACCTGGAAACGCCGAGTCCGATTTCAGCTTCTGCAAGCCAGGCTCTGTTGGGAAGAGGCTTTCTGATCCAGCAGAGACTTGTCATTACGTTGGGACAGGCGGTGTAGCTGAGCGTGGAGAGGTCTTTTCCCCAGCTCCCTGCCACTGTCAGTGCTCTGACAGCGCAGCTCCGGGTGCCACGTCCTGCCAGAAGCCAGGCTGTGCTGCAGGATGGAGGCTCCAGGCCTGCAGGCCCTGCAGTGTGCGCCTCATCCTCAGGGCCACGCTGTGCTCCACATGGTCATGGAGCACTTGGCAGCTTGGAGATGCACGAAGCATATCTGACTCCTTAATTAAATAGGTATTAATTAAATCACTCAGAGAGCGTACACAGTAGGAGTGGGGAAGGCTTTTTCCCTCCTTCCATGTAGGCATCTTGCACAGGGACTATTTTTCTTGTTTTACATTAATGAAGTCTTCAGCCTTCCCACTTTTCCACCTACGCATGTACTGAACGTCTCCAAGGAGACTAAGGAAGCCCGCGTCCGGCTGGTGGAGCCTGCAGGAGCCAAGGGCTGCCATCTCACAGCTGAGCCTTGGCTGGGCCACAGCCCACCATGCAGGGGTCAGCCTCATCTTTTGGTCCTTTGCACCGGTCCAGAGGAGGATGTACTTGCTCCTTTTCCTGCTTTCCCTTGGGTTTCACCTCCTCTTGCTATTTTTTCCCCACCTGATGAGGAACTTGGGCCTCACAGAGCAGCTGGCTCCTGTGCTTGGCACTGCTTTTCTCTTCCTTTGTGACGAACTGTGCAGAGATCTACCACTGAGTGATGCACTGCTGGTACTTTTGGGTACTGTGTCCTCATCCCTCCATCCCATAACACTGCAGCATCCCTTTGCTGCTCTCACACAGGTCTCCTGCCATAGCTTTCTGGAAATTTCTCTGCCTTTCTGTGCTGCTCAGGAGAGCAGGTGGTGGTACGTGACTGCCCTTGTGTAAACCTGCCCGGAATCCTGCAGAAGACGAGCGTGAAAGCCATTGGCACACAGGGCTGCTGGGGAGCACACAGGGCTGTGAGCTGCTCCAGGAGCAGGGTGTCAGTAACCCAGTGGTGTCACTGCTGGGACTTCTGGGATTACTCATGGTACCCACACAGAAGCTGAACTTGAGGTGCTGCTGTTCTTCTCCGTGGTCAAAATGGGAGATGCATTGGGTGGATGTCACTTGTTGCGTGTGGGTGCTGAGATGTTTTCAGTGCTGCAGTGTTTTCTGGGTGGATGTGCTTTGGGACTGTTGTGGTGCTCAGTGACCCAAAGGGTGTCTTGACCAAATGCTGTGCTGGTAACTGCCCACCTCCTCTCTGCTGCAAACTCAGTTTTCAAAACTCTTTCCTCACAGGCTCTCCAGGTAGCACGGCAACTTCTACTACAACAGCAGCAGCAGCAGCAACAGCAGCAACAACAGCAGCAGCAGCAGCAAGTTAGCGGATTAAAGTCTCCGAAGAGGAATGACAAACAGCCGGCCCTGCAGGTAAGGTGGCCTTCGTGCTTCATGGGGGGCTCTTGCAAATGGAAGCTGAGTGGATGCTTTCACTGTGAGTGCTGGCATGGGACTTCCAGGAGCACTTGGTTTTGAACCAGTTTCCTCTAGGGGAAGTGACAGCAGCTGTGGCTCATGTATGCGGGAGCAGCTAGATGCTCTTGAAAATCCCACCCATGATGTCTTTACAGATCTGCAGTGTGTACTTCTCCTAGTGTCTAGTAGGGGGGGGATTATTACAAAATGGAATAGCTTTTGTTACAGTGTCAGTTCGCATAGGAGATTTGCGTTAACAGTTCTGTTTGATTGCTTTTCAGTTTGTAGTCTGTGTTCACTCAAACTGTTGATTCGCTGTGTCAAGGATATTGGGAAAATGTTAGGATATCATATCATCAGTGTGGTTTTTTCCCTTTTATTTTCTGCTGATTTATGGACATCTTCATGAGCAAAATCTGAATATTATCAGGCTTTGCGCTGTTATGAATTCAGAAAGCTAAAACCAATACAGCGCTCCCAAACAGAAGATGTATGCACACATACGCGGCTTTGGACTGCATTCTGCTAGTCTTGTGGGATAAATCATAGGAGTTAAAGACAAAAAAGACCTATTAGGTCATGTATCATATTTTCCTTTTTTTGCTATTCTCGTGTTAGAAATCCCAAGTGGTGGTGGGACCGCTATTATTTTCCTTCGGATGGTTTTCCATAACAAAGCACGCACTCAGGAACTTTCCACTTCAATTCCGTCCTCTTGCTCCAAGTAATACTGCTTGTATAAATACTGAGTCAGTCCCTTGCCTTGCCTCGTGTTCACACTCCTCAAACATCTGAGATACTAACATGTACTTGCCAGTTTTGGCAAATTATATGTATCTAGTTCTTTATGTTTCGTAAACCGGCACTTCTAGACCCTTGACCACTTCTCTGGCTTGCAGCTGGTTATTGCTTTTATTATTGCTCTCTTTGCAAATGCACTGTGTCACTGTGCTTTTGATAATAAGTTACTGAATACAGCAGCTCAGTTGTAGTCATACAAAACCCTGTAGCTGGGACATTTATCTTATCTTGCTGTTCTATATCTGATGCTTCAGCCTCTGTAGCCCCAAATTCTTTCCGAATGTTTTTTTCAGTTGTTGTCATAGCACATTGTCAAACTCATGTCTGTTTTGCTCCTTCTAATTTTTTTTTTAGTTTGATATACTATCACCATGAGTTCCCTGACAGCATTGCTGCTTCTTTTGCCTTGTATATGTGCTTCAGATTATTTTCCTCCAAAAAACAGATCCTAGTGTCTTTAAATATGTAGTAGAAGATGGAAGGTAGAGCTAAAGTCACGAAAGGCCTTGACATTCAAGCTAGAGGACCCGGTCCTGTAGTCCTTACCTGAATAAAGCTCATCGTGACTTAAGGGAGATTTTGCCTGAGCAAGGATTATCTATTAACTGCAGCCCTTGGTCCAGCAAGGACAACTTCTAGCTTTGGTGTAGTGATTTCATCTTCAAAGCATTCTGCAAATACTGATCTCCAAAACATCCCCAGAAGGGAAGTCTGGTAAGTAAGTAGCATTATCCCACTTCTGGATGGGGAAACTGAGGGAAGCAGGTAAAGTGACTCGATTAGGATCGCAGAGGGAATTGGTTTTAGGGGTAGGATTAAGATTCATGAGTTCCTGGCTCCCACTCCTGTGCTCAGGCTGCTGGACAACACCTCACACTTTATAGCTGAGCTATTATTCTTTTGGAAACTATGAAGCATTTTGTCATTGGGCAAATATACGTTTTATTGGCAGTGTAGAGGGCCATAATCCAAACCGTTACATTAATGCTTTCAAAAATATTTTATTTGGTAAATCCATAGCTGATCCATATGCCTTTTAATAGACTCTTCCACTGGGGACATTTTTAATGAGAGATTGCGCTGGCTAGGTCCAGTGTCAGGTACTAAAAGAAGTGCTTTGTTGTGCAGATGTCTTAAGAATAGCTCCAGAGGATGAAATATGACTGTGTTGACCTTTCAGCTGTGAGCTTATTTGTCAGGATTCAAATAAGTTGAAAGGATCAAACCAAACAGTTTCCGTAGTCAGACTGGGAATTGTGTTGCAGAGGTCAACAGTGAAGGCCACATCGCGGATTCCATAACACAGCCAATTGTTGGTACGTATTAAAGTACTGGAGCAGCTCCTGCAGTCAGAGACACAATTAAAATTCTAATTTATTAATGTATACAGAGAGCTGGCCCAGCCTGTCACTCACTGATTCAAACGACTGCCCAGTCTTTTTTTTTTTCCTCTTTACTCCTGGAGCTTTTGCAGTCTTAAATGTACTGGAAGTCCTCTGGAATAGAACAGACCTCCAGCACATCCATAACACCAGTGTGTGGCTGTGAGGAAACCACGGCCCTTGGCTTAGGGTGTTAGGTGGAGTAACATTGCACACACAGCCACCCACAGCCCCGGCACATAGCATGTGCCTCTTACCGTGCTGACAAGGCAGTCCCTGCTCTGACAGCGTGCAGAATAAATAACGAGGGTGGCGGAAACGTGCCTGTTTTTTGGAAAGTTTTCTGGAATAATGAAGCAAACCATCTTTGTGCTTCGTTAATACATTGGGGCTGCTTGAGGCTGGGTCTCCCAGTAAGATGCTCCATGGTCCTTTGGGGCCGCAGTGCTAGAACCTGGCTTGGGGAGAGCCCCAGCCACCGCGGGCCGAACAATTCAATGCCAGTATGCATGTTTTGTCATGTAAACCTGACTGGCACAAACAGATGTGCGGAATTAATCTGGTGAGTGCGGGGTGGCTTATCTGTTATTGTCTCGTGGATAATTTCCTGTGTCCCCTCTTCACTGGCTGATCAAATAGCCACAGAGCTTAAATGCGCGCCGGCATCGCGGGGCATTGCTGGGTCAGGCTGCCTTGAATGGCACGCACACGGCAGTGGGCTCAGCCATCGTCCTGGGGATCTGTTGACCTCGATAATGGTGCCCAGAAACCTGCTTTTAGCAAATGCTGAGATATTCTGTTATAAGGACTTGGACACGGGAGTGGAGATGTGCTCTGCTGATAGCTGAAAAAAAAAATGAATCTCCAAATACACGATGACTCACATTTTGAGCCTATCTCACACTGCTGTGCTCTAGATTTGGCAGTGACCTCCGGTTTCGCAGCCTGATGACACTCAAAAAAAAGAAAATTGAAAGTTAAGGAATGGATTTAGTAACAGCAGTTGGGAAGAGAGTATAAGAAATATCAAAGCCACAAAAATTACTTGAAGTGAAAAAAGGCTAATGCACGGTTGATAATATATTTGCCATAATGTTAGATCTCCTTGAAACTGAGAAACAAATAATTGAGTGGGCCAGGTACACTTAGGATTTTGAGAATTTGCACCTTTTTCCTGGCCAAGATAAATATGTCTTTGTATTAATAGATATATTGATGAAAATTTGCAGCTTTAATTGCTGTGATGTTCTTAACGATTATTCATTTTGGTTCTTCAGGCATTTTAGTTGTTGGCAGGAGCACACAGGTTGGAAACAAATCAAGAGACACATTTTCTCCCGAGAAAGTAAAAGTGCATGTGTGTTTTGGCAATACTAAAAATACAATTTTTTTTAAAGACGTAAATGTTGTGTGTTGCACTGAACTGAAAGCTGGATGCTGGACTAAAAACAGATTTAGGATGTCCAAGTCAGTATCTTGCAATTTGAACTCCTCACTTGACTTCTTTACCAAATGAGACTTGTTGTATGCGAGTTAACCTACGTGTGTTCGGAGAGAACAAACAATGAAATTACTAAGATGGAAACTCCTGTTTTCAGTTGACAAAACAGAAAGTCAGTCTTTAAGTCATGGCCAAGGAAAGAATTTGTTTTAGATCTTCAGGGTGAGACTGGGGGAGGCAGAGGGGCAGGGCTGTCTTCGCCTTTGCATTCCGGTGCTTTTTAAAGCAGGCTCTTGGCCGGGCTTTTGTAGAATGTAATTTGCATGCTGTGTTATCTTCATGTTTCTTTTCGGTATCTTGAGCAATAGATGAGAGAGAGGGAAAATGGCAAGAGCAGGAGCAAGGTAATCTGTGCAGCTTGCTGTTTGGGGCAATTCGTACTGTTCTTTATGAAGACAGAAATTGTTCACTTGATGACATACTGAGCACTGCAGGGTGGATGGAAAGGTGCTCTCTGTTTCACTTGGAGCACAGAAGGAATGGTTCTATAGCTTCAGCTTTTACATGTCCTGTACCTTTTTACATAGTGGTAAATTTAGCAGCTGGCAGAGAAATTATGCCTCAGCAGATATTTTGGAAGGGGAAATACATTTGCAAGCATATTCACTGGATTTGTGAGTGTCTCTCTGATTCACTCTGAAACATGTGAGTTTATCTGAATTTGGCCTTGGTCAAACCAATGGAAATTCTGCCACCAACTTGTAGCAGGGTCGAGATTTCACTTCTGCAGTGCTTAAATAGATCACCCGTGAACATTTCATTTGAATCTTTTTTTTTATTTTATTATTTTTTATTTTTGCTTTGGCAATAAAACAAAGTTGAGCATTGCTGGTTTCTGCTGAAGGACCATCAGCTCTTTATTTTTCTTCCTCAGCCCAATTATAGGTGTTAGTCAATTCTTGGAATACGCCTGAGAAGTGCTAATATCACCAGCTCCACAAACGTAACAAAATCTGAGTCAGGTCCTTGAAATCACAAGATCAGCTCAAAAATGTTGATGCTGAGGGCTTTTTTCAGTGAAACCCAGGACCTTTTTTTGCTGTCCTTTTCCATTTTTTTAGCTTCTAGTACTTGGCCTTTCCAGCTTTCCAGCCTGAGCAGAAAGGTGACAAATGTGCTTGTTTTTCTTGAAAGAAGTCTGTGATTGCCCTGTAAATAGCTGGTTGCCCAAGTCTTGGCTGTAAGAACACAGCACGTGAGAGCTGGCAGCGGGATATGGAGCCAACATGGCCTCTCCCGTGGATGGAGGCTGGGATGCTTTGGGGCCCTGC